ATTGATGCCTTTGAATTACGGTGTTGGAGGAGAATATTGAAAGTGCCATGGGCTGTCAAAAGAACAAACAGAGCTGTGCTGGAAGAAGTGTAGCCAGAGTGCTCCTTGGAGGCCAGGATGGCCAAACTTCGTCTCTCATACTTTGGGCATATTGTCAGGAGGGACCAGTTGCTGGAGAAGGATATCATGTTTGGTAAAGTGGAGAGTCAGAGGAAAAGAAGAAGACCCCCAGCAAGATGGATTAGCTAAGTGGCAACCATCAATGGACTCAAGCATGGCAACAGTAGTGAAGTTGGCCCAGGATCGGGCAGAGTTTCATTCTGTTGTGCATACGGGTCAATATGGGTAGGTACCGACTCGATGGCACCTAACAACAAGAGTGTATACTTCTGAAGGCAGTGTTCCCATCTCTTTAACCCTGTCCATGCACTGGACTGCTTAGTCAGTTCGAACCACAAGGTCGGCAGTTCAAGCTCACCAGTAGCTCCTTGGAAATCCTATACAGGGTCGCTATGAGTTGGAACCAACTTGAGGACATTTAACAATAACCCTTCCCATAGAATCTGTACTGTTCAATTTACATCACGTCAAAACATGTGTTTTGGCACACTTGTTGTGAAGTGCCGACAAGTAAGATCCGAACCACAACGACCCTGTATAGGGTTTCCAAGGAGCAGCTGGTGAGCTTGAACAGCCTACCTTGCAGTACAAATTGCTTTGCAGTCTGGTGCATTAACTCACAGTGCCACACCAGGACTCCACTGGCATCCTCATTGTTGTTGTTAGGTGCCTTCGAGTCACTTCCGACCCATAGACACCCTGTATAGGGTTCCTGAGGAGCAGCTGGTGAGCTTGAACCACTGACCTTGTGGTTCAAACGGTTTTGCAGTCTGGCTCATTAACCAACAAGCGCCACACCAGGACTCCACTGTCATCCTTAGGGGACACAAATCATGTTCCTTGAGTTTGGGGAAGAAGTCTGCAGGGGCAAGATCAGGGCTGTAGGACGTATGGTATAAAGTTTTCCAATGAATATTCTTGCAGGACAGCCCTTGCCATCCCTGAAGAACAGCAGGTGCATTATCGTGATAGAATGTGCCTTCCTGATTTATAAAGATTACACCAAAAACCAGTGGTCATATTCTTCTGACCAGACCTCTCTGCCTTGAATTGAACTGGTCCAGCAGATTCCCTCAAAAGCGAAGGGTTTTGGTTGGACCTGGTTTCTGAAGGCACCCTAAGGAGACTAAGACAAGTGCATTACTAAGAGAACATGTATGTGTGTAGCCATCCACTAATCATGCTTAAACATGTTTTGTTTTGAAAAAACCTTGCATGTATGAACTACAACACTAACAGCAACACTTCTTAGAATTTATTCACATATTACTTTAGGTTGGTAGGTTAAGTGTTGGGCTGCTAAACATACACCAACAGTTCAAACCCACTCACCAGCTGCTCTGTGGGAGAAATACGCAGCAGTCTGCTTTTGTAAAGATTTACATCCTAGTTAACTCTGAACTAGTACCTCTCTGTCCTACATACAGGATTTGCTATGTGTCAGAATCAACTCACTGAAAATTATTTATTGTCTTTATCTTAATTTCTCTCATTTTCTTGAATACATCTTGTTTCTTCCCATGACACCTTGAATTAAAAGTGCAAGATGAAGTCAACAAAAGATTAAAAGACTCAAGTTTTTCATCAGTAAAATTCAAACTTAAGTAAGTAACAGTAACGTACATCTCCAAATTCTCAATTTGAGAATGGATGGTAGAGAGACAAAAAACTACTGTTTATTACTTTAAAAGGCTGATAAATGTTTAGCATAATTTTAAGGAAAGCTTAATTTTTTTTACTTTGCATTAAAAAGTGAAAAATGATTAAAGATTATACACTCAATGTTATTCTACAATATTACTTTTTAAATACCCATTTTATTTTAAATTTGTTAATGTCCTAAATTAAATGAATTTGTACTCCGAATAGATATTATACACTATCAATGATTTAAGTTTTTGGATGCTTTCACAGTAATTTCTAACATTAGCCTAAAACATGGGATAAGAAAACCCAATATCCCAACAAAAAAAAGATTAAAAAAAAAATAAATAAATAAATTGGGCAGAAGACTTAAGTAGGCATTTCACCAAAACAGATAAAGGCCAGCGAGTACATGAAAAGATACTCAGTCATTACACACATCACAATAAAGTAGTTTCGGACTCACAGCGACCGTGCATACGTTTTCTAAAGCTATCAATCTTGACAGGAGCAGAAAAAGCCTCATCTTTCTCCAGTGGAACAGTTGGTAGTTTCAAACTGCTGACTTGAGGTTAGTAGCCTGACTCATAACCACTATGCATAGTAGACCAGCCTGCCCTGTAGACTGGCTTTTCAGATTTGTGCGTTTTTTTTTTTAATCTCCAATCCTTTACAGAAGCAGACTGCCATATCTTTTTCTCCCTCAAAGAAGCTGGTGGGTTTGAACCACCAATATTTCCGTTAGCAGTTAAATGCTTATTAATCACTGTACTAACAGAGCTCCTTAGCAGATAGAAGATGACTAGAATCACCTCACCTCACAGATTAGCAATTCCACTCCTGGGTATATACCAAGAACACAACTGATACTTGTATCTCTATGTTCATTTCAGTATTATACACAAATATCAAAAAAAGGTAGAAACAACCTAAACATGTTTATCAACAGATGAACAGATAAACATGTTACATGTATTCATACACATACATACACAACAGATGAACAGATAAACATGTTACATGTATTCATACACATACATACAATGGGATATTTTCCTATTATACAGAGAAATAAAGTTCTGATAAAGCTATTTGATGAACCTTGAGAACACTGTGCTCAGTGAAATCAATCAGACACAAAAGGACTAATATTGTCTTTGCTACTTACATGATGTACAGTAAGAAAAGGCATAGTTACCAAAATTTTTTAGTGCTTAGCATGAGCAGGTGGGAGGGAGAAAGAGAGTTATTGCTAATGGGCATTAAGTTTCTGTTAAGAATGATGAAAGGTTCTAAAATTTGGTATTCATAAATTAAAATAGGCATGTTATTAGAATTTACTGAGAATTCAAATTCTGTACCTTATACTAAGATGTCCAATAGCCAACATCATGCCTAACAATAAGCTCCTGTACTTTACAGAGTTCTCATAATTTTTAGGAAAGATACTTTATCACCATTATGTCATCAGTGTTTTAAGATTAAAATTATTACTTGTTATTTTCCTTAATCATGAGGTTCTTAATTTTTCTCCCACTGGAATATAGCAATCATAAGCCTTTTCATGTTGTTTAAAAAGAAATCAGGCTGTAGTGAACTAGGTGGGAGTCCTCGGGCTCTATGATAAACACTGGACCACAAGGCTAGTTTAAACTGTAAATTGGGTGGTTCCAATTCACCAGCTTCTACTCGGAAACCATATACAACTCCACTAGTAGTCAGAAACGACTTGACAACACTATCAACAAACTACAGTGAGACACCTGCTGTTTCTGGAATTGCCTATATACAAAAAGCGGTTCAAAACGTTCAAGGAAAGCTTCCATTATCTTTCAGTTCTATTTTTCACAAGCGTTTGAAGCCACCTCATATATTTCATATAAAATTAATCGAACAAAAACTACATCTAGTCAGTATGCAAACTATTAGAAAATGCATTATGTATGACATACACTAAAAAACTGTCATGAGACCAAGACTGGTTGTTTAAACACTGGGAGACAAGTGAGTACTTACCATTTGACAGCTAAATTCTGTACCTCTCCATTTTTATCTTCAAGTAGCTTCAAAATCATTTTCACCACTTTTCTTTCACTATCATCATCCAACTTGATGGAATCTTTCTGCAATTCTGTCATCAAATCATTTGTAGCCATAAACCTATCCAAAAAGTTGAAATTAGTTGGTAATTTAAGAATCTTAAAGCATCTATAAAAATGATTTTTAAATTCAATGCTCATCCAACAAGAACACTGTATAATACAAAATTGTCATCCATTTTTTTAAAATCATCAAAATTTAAGTAGAAGCTAGCACGGAAATGGGTAAAATGTACTTTAAAATAACTCACAAGGTCATTAATAATTTTTTAATTTCTCAGAAAAAGAAATCACATTCAAATAAACTCCCAAAAATCTAAACCTAAAGGCTAAATGAAATTTTCCCTTAGTTGTTGGCTCCCTCCACCTATGTAAATATCCCAACTGCATGAAGGACAACTCTCTTTTATTTGAAATGTGAATCAGCCTAAATCCACCTTTAAATCAATTTAAAAATCCAACTACTAGATCAAAATGCTAAACAGATAGTCTGGCAATGTAGGCAATACACTATGTGGTATTATTGAGAAAACAATTTTACAATTTAACAGTTTATTACATATACAATAATTTTATGAATAATTTCAGTAACAAAGAGTTTATTTTGTTCATATATTGCTGACTTGGCAAAGTTTTAAACAATATGCAATGCAAGCACATTTCTTGCCATGTTCTGTAAAACTGCTAATAAAGGGTTATATTCAAATGAATACAAGATAAATTAATAAGCATGCAATTTAAAAACTGGTATGTTGTTGTCGGGTGTTGGCAAAGGGACCCAATGTGACACAGTAGCACTAACCATATGATTTTCTTGGCTATAATCTTAAAAGATTCCCAGGTCCTGTAGAGTTCCTGGTGGGTTCAAACCACCAATCTTTTGGTTAGCAGCCAAAGGTTCTATCATTGCCCCCTGAAATTCACATTATGAAATTTTCACCACATAATAATTTTCAAGGATTTATTCTGAGGACTGAGAGTGAAGCGTTTAACTTGATATGAAGTGGGAGGGAGACGCACAAGAATGCCCAAGCTCACAGATAGTAAGCATTTGACCTAGCTTTGATGGCTTAATGACCAGAGCTCCATGTGAGGAAGATAAAGAAATGTGATAAAGGAAGCAAGTGTAAATTGCTACAATCTGATGAGCTTGACCTACACTTATAGATACGTTGTTGTTCAGTGCCGTAGACTCAATTCCGACCCATAGCGACCCTGCATAGGGTTTCCAAGGAACAGCTGGTGAGCTTGAACCACCAACCTTGCAGCTGAAATGGCTTTGCAGTCTGGTGCATTATCCCACAGTGCCACACACTTAAAGATATAGTAGCTCAAAATACCAACTGAGAGGAAAGGAGTCTTCACATGTGGGATCAAGCCTGTCTCCTTGGTATACAGGGTTGATAGGGACAAGCAACTTAAACATTAGCTACCTAAACTGGAAGGGGTGGCGCTAAAAAGGCCCAAAGTTATAAGTTTTCAAGAGGGAGATTAGTTTCAGAGTGGGAAGGGGGAAGGGGCTAGGATTCATTTGATTCAACAGTGAAGAACTGTTACCAGGAACTGAGGACCCTAGGACCACCAAGAGAGAAGAGCATAAGCGGATTGTGGGACCCAAACCAGGGAAGCAGTGACACCAGAGATGGAGGCAGAGGTGATGGCACGAAGAGATAGAGCAGCTGAGGACTCTAGACTCATAGAAAGAGAAAGGTTGTGTGCGATGCCCTTTGGTTGTTTAAATGATTATATATTCCTGAGTGTTTTTGTGTGCATCAAAAAAAAAAGCCCAGATGGATAGGAAGGAAACACTGTTAAATGACATATGCATGGAGGGGGGTTGTAATCATTGCAATGAAATAAAATATGATAGGATGAGTGCAAAACCTATAATCTCCCATATACACTAGAACTCAATTCGCAATACAAGCTAAAAAAGAAAAAGATATATTCTGGAAAGTAAACAGAGAATGTAATTGGACATGTGTATATACAAAAGCACTGAAAATATCTTAGCCGTTTTACTTAAGATAAAATCTATTATAGATGAAGGACTACACAAATCTCTGGTGGCGTAGTGGTTACGAATCGGGCTGCGAGCTACAAGGTCAGCAGTTTGAAACTACCAGCTGTTCCGCAGGAGAAAGAAGAGGCTTTCTGCTCCCGTAAAGGTTTACAGCCTCGGAAACCCTGTACAGGGTCGCTATGAGTCGGAACCGACTCCACGGCACATAGCAACAACAACGAACCTTCTGCTAACAAAAAAAAAAAAAAGAAAATACAGTGATCATCACTTTAAGTTGTCTTTTTTAAAAGATTATCTATCCCAATGTACAAAGTTGTTGTTTTATGGTCTTGAATAGGTTCTACTGGTATACAGATGCATACCTTTATTCACCATTTATTCACTACCTTAGTCTAAGAACTTAGGACAGATATAAGTGTAAAGGCCTAGGTCACTGACCTTAGACAGTTTCTATGCTGATTTTTTAAATTCTATCGGTTTGTTTGTTTTTTAAAATCAATGAATAATTGTTAAGGATTAAAAAAGTTTAAATGAACACCAGAAAAATTAGCAATATTTTTTAAAACCAGGAAAACTTGTTTGAGGTAATGAGTGTTACAGTGATGACCCTGAATCCATAAAGTTCTGGAAATAATTCCTTTTATTCATCTGATTTAAAAACCTGTACTACAAAACTCCTTATAAGGAAGTTGTCTGACTACTTCAAAAGCAGATTCAGTCATCTTGTGAATGTCTCCTCAGCATTTGTTTTAGGTATGGTGACAGAGCTGAGATTATAACGTAAACACAGTACCTTCATAAGATTTTCATTTAATGGGGCAGACAGTAAATGGACAAACCTCGAGCTTAAATTTTTAAACAATACTCAAGAGAATTTGGAAAAGATCACACCAAAGACTATTTGTTAAGCTGGATCTTAAAAAATGAGTAAGGATTTGCATAGGGAAAGGTGACTTTGAATTTTACATTTTTTACCCCATTTTTGTGTGTGTTGGTGGTGATGGAGGATAAGGGAAGAGCAGCAATACCTCAGAGTGAAGGACTTATGAAAAGTTCAGTGTGGCCAGAGCCAAGGCAGATAGATTCTAGTCTGTCTTAATCTGGAAGCTCTGCTGAAACCTGTTCAACATCATGCAAGCCTCTGGTAGGTAATGGCTGTGCATGCAATGCTGTTAGTGCTGTCACAGTGACCCAGTATAGGATTTCTAAGAGTTTCGATGACCTTGTGGTGCAAATCAACCTTACAGAGCTCATCCTACAGCCCCACACCAGGACTCAATGAGGTGCCTTAGCCAGGAATTAGTTCCTGAAGCTTAAACCTGCATCTCCAACATGGAAGGTAAGAATTCTACCGGAACCACCAATGCCCTCAAATGTTAAGAAAACAGGCCAAAATTAGAATAAGAGAGGCTTGCGGAGTCTTGGTGTGGCACTGTGGAATAAGCACTGGACTGCTAACCACATGGCTGGTGGTTCAAAACCACCAGCCACTCCTCCTTCTTATTGTTACGTGCTGTCCAGTCAGTTCCAACTCATAGCGACTCTCTATCGGGTTTCCAAGGAGTGGCTGATGAATGTGAACCACTGACCTTGCGTTCTAGTGCTTATGTTACAGCGCCACACCAGAACGGTTCAAAGTCACCAGCCACTCCTTGGAAACCCTATAAAGAGTCAATATAGGTCACAACCATCTTGACGGTGCTAACAACAACAAGGTGGCAGAAAAGCCCTGGTGATATAATGGTTAAGTGTTGCTGTTGCTACGTGGAGTCGAGTCGGTTCCAATCCATAGCTATGCTGTACAGTTTCCAAGGAGTGGCTGGTGAGCTTGAACCACCCAACCTTGCGGTTCAAACTGACTTTTCCGTCCAGGCACGTTAACCCACAGCACCACATCAGGACTCTGTCTTCTTTGTACGTTATAAATACCCTATTACAGACAGCATTGTATTTCAAAGTAGATCTTGAAATATTCTTTTTGAACAGGTCAGCAGTTCAAACACACCTGTCACCCTAGAGAAGCAAGATGTGGCAGTATGTTCCCACAAAGATCAAAGATTTGGAAACTTAATAGGGCAATTCTTCTCTGTCCTATGAGCAGTAATCAATTCAACAGCAAGGAGTTTAGTTTGGTTTTGTGTTGTTGTTAAGTGCTGTCAAGTCTAACTCATAGTAACCTTGTGTAGGGTTTCCAAGGAGCGACTGGTGGGTATAAACCACTGACCTTGAGGTTAGCAGGCCAGTGCTTATTCCTATACAGTGCCACATGGGATAAATTATTTACTTTTGGTTTCCTCAGGGACCCAGAGGTGGATACAACCTGTGGTGCTGATGGTGTGTCTGGAGTCATTTCTGACTGAAAGTGACCCTGCATAGGGTTTCTGAGGCTGTATATCTTTATGGGAGCAGAAAGACTCATCTTTTTCTCATGGAACCGCTGGTAGTTTCAAACTGCTGACCGTGATATTATCAGCCTGACTCGCAACCACTTCGTTACCAGAGCTCCTTTGGATATAACCTGTTGTTGTTGTTGCTGTTAAGTGCCATCGAGTTGACCCATAGCGACCTATATAGGGTTTCCGAGGAGTGACTGATGAGCTTGAACCAACGACCATGCAGTTCAAACGGCTTTGCAGTCTGGCACATTAACCCACAGCACCATGTAACCTGTAGGCACTGTTATTTCATTCATTCTTGGGGGTTCCAGTATGAGGAATGGAGCCAGGCACAGTGATGAACAAGAGTCATATTCTGGAACTTAAACAACATTGTTCACATATATAAAACCAATTTTTAGTCATCTTTCTTCCTCCCAGTTTTTTCAATGAGGTCTCTTCATTTTCTCTTTCACTGTTGAGTCCTAATCATGATCAACCATCAGGTTAGTAGTACACCTAAAGACAATGGTGCTTCAGTGTTAGAATCCTCACCTTCCATGCAGAAGACTAAGTTCTACTCCAGGCCACTTATCAGTGGAAGTCTGCATGTCACTGTGATGCCGAACAAATTTCATACTAACTAGAAGAAAAGGTTGGAGA